ATAATAATAAGCTTTTATTAATAATATTATATTAAATAATAATAATAATTAATATTAATTATAATTTATATAATTAAAATATATAATTATAATAATTAAATAAAAAATATAAAAGTTATATTATAAAAATTAAAAGCTATTATAAAAAATATAAATTAAGAAAAAATATAAATAAATAATACTTAAATAAAATATAATATAATTTATAGTTTTACTGTATTAAGAGTTTAATAATATAAGCTAATAAGCTTTTACCCCTTAAATGGCATAGAGGAAACGGCTAGCCAGTATGAGCACCACCATTGGCTCACGATATTGACCCTACATGGCTTTTCTTTTTGTGAGATCCCTTATGATGACAAATAACCATCCTCGAATTCATTTATGACACCGTAATACAACTGGACTCAGGCTGTAAATGCCACATCAATATAATTCTTCTTGGCATGACGCAATCTGAAAGTGCTGCAAAAATAGCATGGACCGGCATTTCATATTGTTGCTAAGGTCGAGCCCTTCCTACAGAACAGGCCATTCCGTACTGGCAACTGCAGCATACGAACAGTTAACTGCCATCATATAAATATGGTCTTTTGCGGTATTATGCGATCTCAGCCTAAGACTCCAGTGTTGGCCCACTGACCGATAGCAGTTTGCCATGGAGTCACTGAAGCACCTAGAGCCTTGAGTCCATTTTCAACATCTTGCTCGATCTGAACGGCCTGTTTGTTCTCGGTATCGTAAGTAGAATGAGCACCTTGAAGAAGCGTGACTCGAAACCCAGCTTCCAGAGCGCCCTTGCAAGTTTCCAGCACACAGCACTCACTTTGTATGCCAAACGCAACAATGTGTTGAATGCCTCTGGACCTGAGGAGACCAGCTAAATCCGGATTTGACTTGAAAGTGTCTCCTAGGTACATTTAGAAATGAAAATGAATGATTGTTCAAGAGTCTCACGTTGATTCTTTGACACGAGCAACTCTCTTGTACTGTTTGGGTCGTTTTCGAAGACCAACTCCCACGGCTTGCTACCCGTTACAAGAGGACCACTCTCGGGCGATTCTTCATGCTGAACAAAAACTATGATGGGTTTCGGATCGGCAGCGATACCTCTTGCAACCTCAAGTATTTGTTCTCCGGCATCGCGTATGCGTTCAGCGTGGGGGATTTCGGTCTTGTCATCTGATGCCAGATCTTTCTGGATGTCAATGACAAAAAGGGCGCTCACGGGGACTGACATGTTCTCAATCGCTCTGATCCGAGCGTGGTAAAACAAACGACTAGAAAGAAAGCTTGATCATGAGGTCCTTGATAAGTCACAGGATAACTAATCCATGCCTTGCGAATGATTCATGAACAACAAAGACTAAGCCAAAACAAGGCACGCTTCAATTTCGTCAGGCTAAATTCTCCACACAAGAGCAGCGAGGATACATCGCTATGATGAAATCCAGGTTTATCAATAATGGCAAGAGCGCGTACATGCTCCGTACTTTATCTTCTTTTAGTATACAATAGATGATAGTCAAGGCGCCTCGAAGTTCTTCGACAAGACTGGTGACTACATTCTATAGGGTATTAAGTAGCTTGACATTCAGTAATGTCTCTTACAGGAGCATCCTTCGGGGATCCTCAATGTACTCCTTCACCTTGACAAGGAATTGCACAGCCTCCCGGCCGTCCAGCAGACGGTGGTCGTAAGTAAGAGCAAGGTACATCATGGGTCGAATCTCGATCTTGCCGTTGACGGCAACGGGGCGCTCCTTGATAGCGTGGAGGCCAAGAACAGCACTCTGGGGGAGGTTGATGATGGGTGTGCCCATGAGAGACCCGAAAACACCGCCGTTGCTGATGGTGAAGGTGCCACCAGCCATATCCTCGATAGTAAGCTTGTTGTCACGAGCCTGTAAACACATGGTTAGTCACCAGTCTGCTTGTGGGCGTGCCAATGTTGCGACCAACCTTTTTGCCCATATCAGCAATCGATTGCTCAATGCCAATCATGTCCATAGACTCGACATTTCGGACGACAGGGGTAACAAGGCCCTTCTCGGTAGCGACAGCCACACTGATATCGACGTAGTCGCGGTAGACGATGGTGTCACCGCCGTTGGGACCCTCAATGGAGGCGTTGACGGCGGGGAGATCGCGCATAGCAAGAACGCAGGCTCGAGAGAAAGCACTCATGAAACCAAGCTTGACACCAGTCTTCTTGAGAACGTCCTCCTTGTAGAGCTTGCGGAATTCCATGATGTTGGACATATCGACCTCGTTGAAGGTGGTCAGGGAAGCAGCCGTGTTTTGGGACTGCTTGAGACGCTCAGCAATGCGAAGGCGCATACGGTTCATCTTGACCTGAAATACAGTTAGTACTCGGTGACTGGGCTCAAAAATTTCTGCATCATCTTACACGGCGCTCTTCTCGGTTACCCATAGAGGGACCGCTGGAAGCGGCAGACTGTGGCTTGGAGTCCTTCTTCTCGGCCTGTCGGGGAGGTTCGGGCTTGCTGGGAGCAGGAGCAGACTTCTTCTTAGGGTCAGGAGCGGATTCCTGCTTGGGCTCAGGTTTTGATTCGGACTTTGATTCGGACTCGGACTTCTGGGGCCGCTCCTTGGACTCTTCTTTGGGGGCCTCCTTCTTGTCACCGGATGGCGCGCCTCCAAGCTCAATTCGAACAAGGTCTTGTCCGACAGTGACTGTGTCCTCCTCGGCAACGAGGAACTCCTTGATGGTACCAGACTCGGTGGCGTTGACAGCAACGTCAATCTGGTCAAGACGTTTTAGTAAGGCTGTCCTGGTGACAGTTTTCAATATTGCTATGACGGCATGCATACCTTGTCGGTCTCGATAGTAGCAATCTCCTCATCCTGCTCCACATAATCGCCAATGCTCTTGGAAAACTGCTTGAGAGTACCCTCGGAAATGGACTCGGCCATCTGAGGAACCTTGATAACAGAATCGGCGTAGGAGCGAACGGTCTGCATCATGGAGGGAAGCATGACGAGAGGGTGCGAACGGGGCCTCAGCGCCCTGGTGGCAGGCACCATGCGGGCGGCGGTAGCTATACTTCTTGAGAGCATTTTGAAGAACTGTGAGAAGGACTGTCGAGGACCGGAGGGGAGAGGAGAGGATCGCGGGTTGTTGTTGCTGAAGTTGTATTATGGAGGTGGAGATATTTAGAAGGTAGGCCAGGAGGGAAAAACGAAACCACACACGAATGAAACAAGCTCGGACAATGATTCGCGATGTTCCACTCACGAGCAAGTTCCTCTCGGCAAGCTTTGGGGGAAGCAGAAAAAAAGCCGGGCAGTCAAGGTATGCGTTAGCGTCAAGGTACACCGAGGTTCCCAAGACGGTGTAGCGCAGCCATAAATAACCCAGGAGGTACATGTCCGACATAACAGGAGGCTTCCATTAGTTCCGTCAGCTGCTGATTGGCTTGCACCAACGATTTCAATTACCTGATGTCCGACGGCTTAGCCGAGCAGCCATGTAGTCAGTTATCCAGCATCGACCCTACGCGATTTCTGTCAGGGACTTGCCATCACCTTTCTGATTAGGATTTACGAGCTACACAACCCATTCCTAACCCCTAGCAGTGATTGTACCTTCTTCCTGCTTTGTTTGGGCAACTTCAGGCGACTCGTGATGGAGGACAAATGTGGATCACTCATACGAGCCATGACCAACTGGACGAAAAGGAACTCTGACCACACAGCCTGCCAACAGCTGATTGACAGGCCGGCGAAGGGCCAATGTCATGAAAGAAGATGGGAAATCTATCTGTGATGTAGATGCAGATGAACGGGGCACCTCGTCAATCAATCAGTACAATCTAATACTACTACAACTCGTCTTAGAATCGTTGCAAGTTATTATTGGGTGAATTTAGCCATTACTCCAATCCTAACGCATAGAAAGTTAACCTAGTTTTCGCTCTCTTGATCTTGAATGGGATACCTAGGCGCCTTGAATTCATATTTGTTTCCCAGCTGCTGCTCACTCGTCTCAAACAGTGCTGTTTTCTTCGTTGGGTGGCTTGACCTCACGCCAACCTTCAAGCCCTGCCTTGGCTTTCCACTTCTGGGTATCCTCGTTGTATTGCTCCAACCACTTAGCCATAGCATCACTGGCCTGCGAAACAATCTCTGTTTTCTCTTGGTGCGCATCTGCTGCATTCTTTCCGAGTTTCTTGTTTGAGTTACTCCCGACCAGCTCGTCGCGCTCTTTTCTCTTCCTCTCCCGGTCAGCCAACCATTCTTTTCTCCCAGCCAGGTATTTGGCGCTGTGTCCTAAGCCAGCGCTTTCGTGGGATATGCCCTTGTGGGGTCTGTCGAGTGGAGGAGCAGTGAAGAAGAGAACTCGGCCAGAACTGTCATGTTGAAATGACTCTCGCAACTCCTTTGGCATCGCATCGTTCATATTGTCGGGAAGTGCGTAGACCTCTGGTGGTCTGGGTGGGTTATACACATTGCCACCCTGCATAGGTATCCCTGGTGCAGCCGGCATAGGACTGCGAGCGACTGGAGTGGCTTGCACTTGGTTGTATGCCTGGGTCAAGTGGTTTGGCATAGGTGTTTGCTGATGCATAGGAGGCACCTGTTGCCCATAGTTAGGGGCGAATCCTTGTGCATATCCTGCCTGCGAGTGTTGAGGTTGGTGTTGATATTGCACAGGCCGTACAGACACTTGAGGCTGGGCACCCAGGTGAGGTTGATGTGGAATAGGGACCGGAGTCTGTTGAACTTGTACTGGTTGGGCGCCAGGAGTGACCGGCTGAAAGTGAGGTGTCATGTGAGCATTATACGGGACGGGCGAGGGTGAGGGGCCTCCAGGATAGGATATTGAAGGATGTCTCCCGGGATGATCACCAGAAATGCCACCAGGCACTGACAACATTGAAGCGCGCCGGCCAGAATCAGCACCGGCATCAGGTAGTGGGACCGCCGACATGGCTTGTGGCGGAGGGGTGGGTACTGGCGGTGGTGAATCCTATAAAGTTATGGTTAGTTGCGTGCGACAATTAAGTGAGACGAAAGAAAGAAAGCCTGAGGCATGCATGGATCACGACCAAGAACCAGGCGTCGAAGCTGGGAAGGAAACGAAAGACGTTGGCTGGCAGGGATCATGCAGGGCGTTCGTTTGCTGATAACGAATACAGCGACAGCCAGCCGAGTCATAGCATGGCACTGGCATGACAGAAGGAACGAAAGAACAGATGCATTTCACCTACATTGGCCTCCCGTTTACGGCGATGTACCGCTCCAACAATAGGCGGGGCATTTGGGCTTCCCCATGTTGGCTTGGGAAGTTCATCTGTCTCCTTTGCATCTTCGCGGAGCAAGTGCTTAATCGGGCTGGGGATCTTCTTCATACGCCGAGGCACATCAAAGAGGTCCATTTCGTAGTCTTTGTCGCGCACCTCATCTGGGACACAGCTTGCCCACGTCTTGATCTTGTTGAATGTGAACTTCTCCTCGTTGTAGCGTGATTCACACACATAAATCTCCTTGTCTAGAGGAAATCCCCGAGGTCGCCCTTTATTGAATCGGGTCACGAACATGACAAAGCATCGATCCAAAACCTCTTCGATTTGATGATCCCGATATTGGCCTGTCTTGACAACTTCATGCTCGAAGAAATGCTTCTCATATCGATGCACAGTCTGTTCTGGTCGGTAGTACCAGCAGGCATTGATCCATCTTTGGCCAGCACGGTCTTGCCAAGTTCGATAGATTTGCGCAACGGTGGGCTTGGCCAGGTCATTGGGATTTCTAATGTGAACCCAATCACCTATATTCATGTTAGCCGCGTGACAACACTGAAAACGCATCGCACAGTGGTATTTCTTTATGCACGTACCGACTTTCCAGACCTGCCCGTTATGTTGGATCTCTGCCAACGGTAACTTGCCGTCTTCGTCTCGGAAATCATCATCAGGTTTGGCCTTCTCCTGTTCAGCTAAAAAGACAGCCTCTTTCTGTAGCTCAACTGCGGCCTTGTACACTTCGCTGTCATCCTCATTATACCGCTTGGCATTCTCAAACATGAGATTGAGGTCTTGAAGAACATGGTCAATGCTTTGATACTTCTTCCGCTTGGCCTTTTTCTTGATGTTGTCGAGAGCGATGGGGTTTAGTATCGTTGTATAGTAATCTGGTACAGCTGCTTTGTCTGGTAGCTTCTCGAAAGGATGAACAAGTAGATTTCCTACAGCGTCCTTAGGCTTTCTCAATCCC